CCCCCCCCCCCCCCCCCCCCATGGGGCATAGTGCCTTCTGGGAGTTCTGGGAGAGAGAGTGGGGGGATCCCTGCTACCTATAGAGCATCTGTGCCTGTTCTGGGGGAAGCTGAGAGGGCATCTTTGGTGCTCCATGGAGGTCCTCCAACCCTATTTGAGAGCTCCTGGGGTCAGGGGATCTGGAGGAGGTGGGGGGAGAGGGGGGTCCTTTCTCCTTTATGGGAAACATTCCAGGGATCCTTGTGTCCCCTGGACAGGACCCTCTGTGTGGGGCTGTTGTCTCTGTTGCACCCAGATCCTGTTTCTGTAAACCCAAAGGTCCTCAGCCCTTGGGAGGGGGGGGGGGACAGTGGGGGTCCCTTCCACCCCCAGAACGCCATCATCCCATCGAGGGGCTACTGGGGCTCCCCCCCAGCCCCCGTGTCCAACCGTTATCCACTGTGTGGCTTTGTCACCCCCTCCTTTCCAGGACTGTCACCTTTGTCCCCGTGGCGCTGCGGTGCTGGGACGGCTGTCCCCGGTTCCCGACCCTGCCAGGCCTTCACCCTTCCTCTGCTTGCAGGTGAGTCGGGTACTGGGCAGAGCCTCCCAGTAAAGGCTCCAAACTGGGAGATGGCAGCTTACTGGAGGGGCTGTTTGCGATGGGCAGGTTGTGCTCCTTGGGGTCTGTCTGTCCTTCCTTCCTTCCTTCCTTCCCGTGCGTTGATTTTTGGAGCCGTGTTGGTGCTGATCTCCATTGTGACGCCGGATTCCTGGTGTCAGCTCACGGCAGGGAGCTCCCAGCTCCTCATATGGGGGGGTTTCCCCGTTCTTGGGGTTGGCCACCTCCCCCAGCCCCAATTCCTCTCAGTGAGGTGGAGCCCCTGTCCTCACCGTCTCTGGATGGGAAGGGGGAGATGCAGGGTGCTGAGGGGCTCATTACCTGCAGTTAATTAGCAGCACGGTTGCACTGTCCTGTATTTCCCTTGCTCAGCCACTCAGAAGACAGTGGGGCACTGGCTATGGGGTTTTGCTGTGGGAGAGCAAATAAGGGTAGAAGGGGGCCTGTGGGGCAGCAGGGCACTCACTGTGGGATATTGCTCTGGGACTGCAAATAGGGGGGTTCAGGGGGGGTCTGTGGGGCAGTAGGACCCTGGGTCTGGGCTGTTGCTAGGGAGGGGGTCTGTAGGATGGCGGGGCCCTGGGGTTGGGGATGGCTGTGTGGCAGCCCCACGGACGGACGCTGCGTCCCCACAGAGGTGCTGTGGGTCACTGTGCTGATGGGCTCATGATGCTCCGATCCAGGGGGAGAGGTGGGAATCGCTGATCTCCCTTTAACTGCGAGTGAGAAGCTGCTTCATTAACGTCATCAGCGGGGACTGGGAGCTTTGTAATGATCCAAACCTCTCCAGATCTCTCAGCACGAGGGGGGGATTCCCCAAGCGTTGGCCAACCGGAGGCTCCCCTCCACCCCACAAGGGGGGATTTGGCTGCCGTGGGTCGGTGGGGTTTTCTATGGGGACTGAGCTACCTGCTGGCCCCGGAGCCGCCCCACACTGCGAGCTGCTGCCGTCCGGCCCCGATGAGAGAACTTTCCTTAAATAGAAGAGGCTGAAAGGAACCCGGCACAACACGTGTGCTCTGCACCGGCAGCGCCAAGGCCACGAGGCTGCGGCTCATAGTGGGGGGGGGTTGGGTTGGAAGCGGGGCCGAGGGGCTCTCGCTTGTGGGTGTCTGCTCTTTTTTTGTTTTTAATGTCTGCTTGCTCCTTATTTGTGTATCCCAAACGCAGCCAGGCCTCCCGGCGGGGCCGTGTGATGTTTATAGAGCTGTGTAAATCTGCGGGGAGGAGTTTGGGGATGGAGAGGCTGTGAACGCTCCGATTGCCGGCGCTGTGCAGCCCGCTTGCTGCCGCTGTGACCCGATGCTGATGTTGCCAGCACCCAGGAGCTGCTGGAGCGGCTGGTGGCTGCGTGTGAAGCTCGGGGTGGGGGGGAACGGCCCCAGAGAGCCCGTTGTTGTGGGATGAGCTCAGGAGGAGGTGGCGGCTCGGTGCCGAGGCGGCCGGGCTGTGGCATGCGGAGGGATATTTATAGGGCCTTCGCAGGGGTGCTGTGAGCATGTGAGGCGTTCAGGGCTGATCCTGTCCAGATGCAGCGTCCGGGGCAGCGCAGAACCAGCATGTCGGTGCCTGGGAGGGGAGCCGGGCTGCGGGACGGGGTGCTGCTGTGGGGCTGCTGATGGGCGCCTGTCCATCGGCCTGGATCAGAGCGAAGCCCCGTTCAGTGCGTGCTGTGGGGCTGCTGATGGGCGCCCATCCATTGGCCCGGATCAGAGCGAAGCCCTGTTTGGGGCATGCTGTGGGGCTGGTGACCTCCAGCGGGGCCGAGCGGCGTCCTGATGATCGCCTGAAGCATCGCTGCAGCTCGGGGAGGTGGGAGCGATCGCTTTGGTGCCGCAGTTGTGCCGCACCTCCAGCAGGTGACACCTCAGCTCCGCGCTGCACCGTTCCCGCAGGGCCCCTTTCCATCCCTGTCACCACCCTGAGCTGCAGCTCTTAGGGGGCGGCCCGGGGGTTTCTTTTCCTCCTCTTTGGGGCTCCTTCCAGCCCACAGCGCGTGCCGAGGAGCTGCTGGCGAGCAGAGCCGGCATGGGACCACGGGGATGCGCTCCTGCTGCCGATGCGGAGCACCTGCCCCTGGGTGATGAGTCTCACAGCCCCACATGGAGAAGATGGCAGAGTTGTGGCTGTGCTCCTCTTCCTCCTTCAGCGTCCTCCAGCGTGCTGCTCGCCACCAGGAGCTCAGTGGTCGGCTCGCTTTCTTTCCAAGTGAAGCTCTGCCCCTCATGTGGCTGGGTGAGAGGTGAAGTCAGGCTCATTACTCCGTGCTGGATTGCTTTCCTCTGGGAAGCGAGTTCCTTGCAAAGGAATTGCAAAGGTTTGCAAGGACCTTGCAGAGGTTTGGCACGGTCCCTCACAGGCTTCTTCTGGGGAAACTGGCTGCCCGTGGTCTGCACAGGTGGACACTCCTTTGGGTAAGGAACTGGCTACAGGGCCGTGCCCAGCAGGACGTGGTGAGTGGAGTGAAGTCCAGCTGGTGACCTGTTTCAAGTGGAGTCTCCCAGGGCTCAGTGCTGGGGCCCATCTTGCTTAGTATCTTTATTGATGACCTGGATGAGGGCATTGAGGGCACCCTCACTAAGTCTGCAGATGACACCAAGCTGGGAGGTGGTGTGGATCTGCCTGAGGGCAGGGCGACCCTTCAGAGGGATTCAGACAGGCTGGATCTCTGGGCTGAGGTGAACGGGCTGAGGTTCAACAAGGCCAAGTGTTGGCTGCTGCACTTTGGCCACAACAACCCCATGCAGCACTGCAGGCTTGGGGATGAGCGGCTGGATGAGTGTGAAGAAGAGAAGGACCTGGGGGTGCTGGTTGATGCTGGGCTGAACAGGAGCCCAGTGTGCTCAGATGGCCAAAGGGCCAACAGCATCCTGGCCTGCATTAGAAATGGCCAGCAGGAGCAGGGAGGTGAGCATCCCCTGCACCCAGCTCTGCTGAGGCCGCACCTCCAGTGCTGTGTTCAGTTTTGGGCTCCTCACTGCAGGAAAGACATTTGAGGCCCTGGAGCGCGTGCAGAGAAGGGCAACAAAATGGTGAGGGGTCTGGAGCACAAAGATGAGGAGCAGCTGAGGGAGCTGGGGTTCAGCGTGGAGAAGAGGAGCTCAGGGGAGACCTGACTGCGCTCTGCAGCTGCCTGAAGGGAGGCTGGGGTGAGGAGGGATTTGGCCTCTTCTCCCAGGTACCAAACAGGACCCGGGGAAACGGCCGCAGGTCGCAGCAGAGGAGGTTTAGGTTGGATGTGAGGAGGAACTTTTTCTCTCAGCGGTCAGGACTGCAATGGCTGCACAGGGGGGTGGGGGAGGCGCCGACCCTGGCAGTGTTCAAGAGGTGTCTGGATGAGGAGCTGCGTGATGTGGTTTGGTGGTGATGTGGTTATGATGTGGTTTTTGGTGCTGGTGGTGGCTGTGGTGATGAGGAGACGGTTGGACCAGATGATCTTACAGGTCGTTTCCAACCTTGTGATTCTATGATTCTATGATTCCTTGCTGCTCAGCTCTGTGAATGACAGATCAGAGCGGGTGATTTGGCAGAGGAAGCCCCCTCCTGAGGAACGAAATGCAAACGCTGCTCCCTCTGTGGGCGCTGAGGCTCCCCCAGCTGCGGCTGTGCGGCTGTGGGATCCCTGATGTGACGGAGCCACGCAGGGCTCTTTGTGCTGGAGGAGGCAGCGCTTGTGGCCAGAGGCTGAGCTGTGGGTTGGGGTCCTCGGGGGGCAGGGCTGTGACCCGGTGGCAGCAGATGTGCTCAGGATGAGCCCGGTGCCCCCCCAGACCCCCATGATGAGTGTGGTTGGCTTGGAGCATTCAGCCTTTGTGCTGCTGCCTGGGGCTGGTGTTAATTCCTGGTTAATCTCGGTTTGTAATCAGAGTTAATGATGGCCCAGCTTTGGCTTTGCCGTCTCTGTAAACGGGGAGCTGAAAGCGCTCGGCCTAGAAGCAGAAGGGGGGCAATGAGGGAGCAAAACATCCCTGAGACGGTTTTGTTTTTCTCCCCTCCTTTACCTGCGCTGCTCGTGTCTCCCCGCTGTGCCTCCCCGGATCTGAGCTGGGCTTTGGCTTTGGGCTGCACTGGGTGCCGGGTTGGGATGTGCTGCATCCATCCGTGGGGAAGCATCGCCTTCTGATGCGGTGTCTGCTGCATCCTGTGCAGAAATGGGTCCTCTTTGCCCTGGTGGCCCCTTGTTGGGAAGGGGAGAGCACTGTGCGTGGGAAGGGGCTTCAAGACCTTAAAAGTTCCCCCTGGAGCAGCTTGTGGGCTGCAGGCGCTGAGATGGACGGGGAAACCCAGCGCTCCTTGTGCTCCAGGTGTCGGGGGAAGCAGCGCAAGGCGCCGGGCTGCCCTGTGGGGTGTGTGGGGTCAGAGTCCGTCGCTGGGGGAGAGCGGCTGGGCTTCATAGGGGGACGTGGGGTGGTGGAGCCTTGGGGTGTGCTGAGTGCTCTCACTGTGTGCCTTTGTGTTTTAGGATAGCGTGGTCCCCGCGGCGGGGCCGCTCCAGCTCCTGCTTTCTCCCTCTCTTGCCTTCAGGGGAAGCACGCAGCGAGAAAGGAGATGTCGGATAAAGGGAGCAGCATGGACGGAAAGACGGACATCGCGAATGGTGAAGGCAGGGGAAGCTCAGCCCCAGGGGAGCAACGTGGGGAGCAGTGCAGGGGAGATGGAGCTGGGGGAGACAGAAAGAGGGACCGAGGCCGGGTGGGGTCCGGCTCTGCGGGCTGGCGCTGGGTGCAGAGCAGAGGCTGGAGGGGTCAGGGCTCACTCCGGCCACCTCAGCTCCCTGTCACGGGGCCGCGTGCCTCGCTCCTCTGCCGTCGTGCAGGGGATGGATGGGGTGGAAAGAGCAGGTGGGCCGGGACGTCTCGGAGCTCACAGCACTGTCTGTGCGGTGCAGGCAGCCTGTCCAGCAGCCCGGAGGAGATGTCAGCCGAGGAGGGCCGAGAAATTTCTTCCGGCATCGAGGTGGAGGCGTCCGACGTCAGCCTGAGCCTCACTGGAGATGACGTGGGGCCCAACCGCACCAGCACAGAGAGCCGCGACACCGACACCGAGAGCTCTGCGGAGGAGAAGGACTCTGACAGCATGGACGACACGGGCCACTACTCCATCAACGAGGAGTCGCGCACCCTCGACTGCTCGCACTCGGAGGAGGAGGAGGAGGAGGAGGAAGAGGAGGAGCAGCGATCCCACCGCCGAGCTCAGCGCAAACGTGCCAACCACGACCGAGACTCCTCGGACGACGAGCAGGCGCTGGAGGACTGGGTGTCCTCGGAGACCACGGCGCTGCCGCGGCCCCGCTGGCAGGCCATCCGCGCCCTGCGGGACAGGGAGCTGGGCTCCAGCCCCCGCTTCGTCTACGAGGCCTGCGGGGCCCGGCTCTTCGTGCAGCGCTTCCGCCTGCAGCACGGCCTGGAGGGCCACACGGGCTGCGTCAACACGCTGCACTTCAACCAGAGGGGCACGTGGCTGGCCAGCGGCAGCGACGACCTCAAAGTGGTGGTGTGGGACTGGGTGCGGAGGCGGCCGGTGCTGGAGTTCGAGAGCGGCCACAAGAGCAACGTCTTCCAGGTGAGGAGCTCCCGCTCCGGTCTCTGTGGGTGCTGCATCCCACCCTGCCGGGTCAGGGCCCGATTTCCCTGCCTGCTGCTGCTGTGCGGGGCAGCAGAAGGGGCTTTTCTCAAAGCTGGGGGCCGTCGAAACTCGAGCGGCTCCAAACTTGGGCTGGGGGCCGCACAGCTTTGCTGCTCTGCCCGGAGCCCCCGGCCGGTGCTGCTGCTGTTGATCGCGGTGCGGGAGGAGCAGCGTTCCGACGGTGCTGCGCTGTGCCGCGGCTCTGCCGCCAGAGGGGGCCCGGACAGCCGGCCTCGCCGCGGGGTTCCCGGGCCGCGATCCTTCCCGTGTCTCCTCCGGGTTCTCCCACAAGAGCCGGGATGGTTTCTCGACCCTCCAGCTGCGCCTCTAAAGATCTAATCCTCATTGCTCCTCAGACTCGGCTGTGAGCCCTCACCCTCTGCTTGCTGTCTTCCAGGCCAAGTTCCTCCCCAACAGCGGTGACTCCACACTGGCCATGTGTGCTCGGGACGGGCAGGTGCGGGTGGCTGAGCTTTCGGCCACGCAGTGCTGCAGGAGCACCAAGCGTGTGGCACAGCACAAGGGAGCTTCTCACAAGGTGAGCCCTCAAAATGCCCTTTACCTCCGTGGGCCGGGGGCATGGGGGGGGCTGAGGGGGGCCTTGTTGTGCTGCCTGGCAGAGCAGCACGCAGCCATGGGGCGTCGAGGACGCGGGGATGTGGGGTGGGTTATGGGGAGAAAGGGATTCGAGTGCATTGTTGGGTGAAAAGGGAACCAATGCCCGAGTATTTATCTTACAGCTGGCCCTAGAACCGGATTCTCCATGCACTTTCCTATCAGCAGGTGAAGATGCTGTCGTCTTCACCATCGATCTGCGACAAGACCGGCCTGCCTCGTGAGTATCCCCCTCCTGCTGCAGGTGGGGATCTGTGGGCTGTGGGTCTCTGCCCCATAGCCGTCGTATCGGTGTTTGGGTGCCCGCTTTCCTGCTGGACGTGCAGTATTTGGGGGCTGTGACGGCACTGAGGGGCACTGGGAGGTGATCAGAGAGATTCTGCTGCTTAGCAGGAGCAGCATTGGGACCCCAGGCGGGTTTGGTATCGCTGTGGCTGCAGTCCTCATTAATGAGTCTGCAATTAAACCTTGTCCTCCACCAGTGTGGAGCGCAGGTAGGGAGCAGCAGCGCTGCTGTGTGTCCCCACGCAGCCCCTGCGCTGGCAGCTCGCTGTGTCCCCACCTCAACTCATCACATGGGCGCTATCCCAATTAATCAAACACCAGTAACGAAGGAGCAGAGAATTTGGCCCTTTCTGACAACCCTCCAAATCAGGGCGGCCGTCTGGGCC